TTCGAACACCGATGCATCGCTAAATACGTATGCACCGGACGTCTTATCCTTTAGGCCACGACGGCTTTACATAAATGCAAATTACATTATTAAACAAAATTATAGCCAGAAACTAAGAAAAGTCATGCTTGGTAAAAAAATTGAAAAACTTGCACATGTATATAACTCACCTATCTTTATGTCTGTACACCTTAGAAGCTCCCACGACGATTAACCACCGATTAAGAGTTTATATTAATATCATAACTTCACAGCCATTCACCCGCATTTATTTACGGCATTCAATTTTATAGATCGACCGTAAATCAATCGTGGGAGCCAATAAAATGTGATACAGCATTACAATCAACACACCGTGCGCGGGTATTGGGTAATTTTAGACTATTACAACATTTCACATGTGAACTGTACGAATTAAAAAAAAAACTTTAATTGAGAACTAGTTTTTCTAATGCTGTAGCGACTGTGAATCGTGCAAACTTTATTATTGACTAAACTTCAGTCGCATGCCATTAACTAAATATTAAACACTCATTTACTGTTAAATAATGTGGTGATTATTAATGAGATCTATCTTCTGATAATGACATTAGTTTTATAATTATTAAACAAATGCTTAATTTCATTAGTTAATGTAATTGATTATGAACTTAATAGAGATCTGATAACATTTACGTGAATTGTAATGGTTATGACAATTACGATATTATACAGAACAGTATAGCGATAGTTTTAGTTTTCATTTTATTATAAAGCGTTCGTTTAGAACTGTATGAGGAGGGGAACGCTTAGCCACGGTTGCCTTCCCTCCGGTGTCCCGATGAGTAGGCTGTTTACATCGTAAGACATACATATGACTCGAAATCCTAATAGCAATAGTCATATGGATTATGTCAGAAAGAATCAGTAAACCACGGTCAACGTCAACGAATATGAACCGAAGTCAAACGGTAGAAGTTTCAATTATTTATCTTAAACTTCAGGCAGTAAAAAGTAAAGTTAGGGATACAACGTCTATCCACAACCTGCCTACAAAGAATATTGCGGTATTTTGGTCATGTTGCACGCAGGGATACCAGCAATTTGGAACGCCTTGTGGGGACCGGTAAAATAGAGGGAAAAAGGCCTAGGGGTAGAGGTCCCAAACGATGGTCGGACCAAATAGCGGAGGAACTGAGGGTACTTGTCAGCGACGCACTCCATCAAGCTACAAAACGGGATCGATGGAGACAGCTGGTTGACGGAATCGGACGCAGTGACGATCCTCAGCAGTGAGGGACCGATCGAAGAGAGAGAGAGAGAGAGAGAGAGAGAGGGATAAGAAAGGACGAAAGCAATGATCTGGTAACAAGAATTGGGGAACAACAAGGTGAGTTAGAACAAACTTAGTTGCAGACGACCAAGATCACATACGTTCTCTGAGGAATAGCCCAATAGAGTGTAGGATAAAGGATGTTAAAAGAGCTGACTGTTACAGATGTTTTACACTAAAACTGATAATGATTCTAGGTGTTAAACGAGCGAACGGATCGCGGTGTCCATCCGGCTCGGTAATGAGCTCCATCGCGGCTTTCATCTCGACACTCGTAATATTTCATGCTCTCTGATCACCGAGTTTTCTAATAATCACAACAAATTATAGGTTTTTTCCCTCAAATATCAATTTTGAAGTGAAATGTTTTAAAGCAACTTTCAAAGGAATCCCTTCACGGTAGACGATTGAATTTATTCTGTTGTGATGCAAAAGTCAAGAATCAGATAAGAATAAGGCAATAGATGTATCGAGACTACAGGCTCAAGTCTTAATTTGGTGACAATTAAGTATATATATGTAGGTTTACCAAGAAGCAGATGGATCGACGAAATAATAGCAGCAACTGGAAAAGAATGGAGAAACAAAGCCAAGGATAGGGAAGAGTGGAGCAAGCTGGAGGAGGCCTATACCCGAATGGGGTTCCAAACACAAGTTTATATTTAATTTTGTAATTTTTATTTGATAAGGTGTTTTTTCTTCTTTTTCTTTTTTTCTATTTGTTTTTAGAAATAAAATGGGCTTATTATTATTATTATTATGTAGGTTTGAGTATCAAGTAACGCTTGACGGTTTCCAGTTTGAAAAAAAACACATAATCTTTTAATTACTGGCGTCGTCTGCCTTTACTCTAATTATGAAGAGTAGAAAAGATAGGCACCACACATTGTTGCTTCAATTAGCGAAACAAATCTTTGGAACACAAAATGTGGGCCAATTAATTGTAGTTACGTAGTCGTTGAGGGTGTATTGTTACATAAACTATTCGATATTGTTACAGCTTACTTCGTTTTGCGAAGTATACCTACTTACCTATTCAAAGCAATGATATGCACTTCATTTCAATATCATTACTACCATAAGGTGATGAGCGTTAATTTCACGCTGTAACTATTAATTAATTCATGGCTGGTACTTTTTAATTTGAACAAGTAAATGTTGCCAGTACGATCGAATTAAAATTATACTTTTTACCGGAAAATTTCGCATCTATTTCCTATAAATGATAATTTGTTTTAAGGAGATACTTTCCAATTGATACAAATTTTACAATAATTTGTTTTGTGGAGATACTTTCCAATTGAGATTTCAAAATTATTTAAGTCGACTTGACTTGACAGCATTACCTAGTCTATGGTCAGGTGTTGCCGGAGACGCAGCTGATCTGTTTATCGAATTCTCTTGAAATAAAATACCTCGCGTATCGATAGGCTGGATGTGTAAATACGACCGTGACGCAGTCATGGGTCCGGGTTTGAAGGGTAGTTTGATAGCCCTATAAAACCAGGTAGACTTTGAGGTAAAAACCAATCTGTAGTAATAATGAGCAAAGACAATTATTGCAAGTACGTGTGCAGAGCTTGTAAATTAATTGAAACTGTTATTAATATAGATTTGTACAGTACCAATGTTAGTAAAAACCTTTTTCAAAAATGGAAAAAAAAGTTTTAAAGATGTTTATAACCAAGTGTGGGATATAGTGAACACTCGCTATCTCTGTCACACATCGGATTTTCAATGGAGATGACGTCATAGAATTATACATATTTTGAAAACTACCCACAATATCAGATTGAAAGTTTACATTTACATTTGAACGAATTTTAGTATTGGACGAAAAAACATTTTGCTTTATAAAAAAGAGTCGGTAATCCGCGTTTTTGCATTTTATGCATAAACAAAAAGGAGTTTCATAATGATAACATAACATTGTCTATGTTAATGAAATGCTACGATTATAATATTTTTATTAGTGTAGCGGCAGTCAGTGATGGGGCGCTGAGCGTTTTCACTCTCGACCGTCTGTCGACTGTTGACTGTTGACTCGCCGTCACGGTCAAGGAGATATAACGCGCATTCCCTGTGGATATTGAGTCTATCTATGAGTCATTGTTAAACGATAGTCGGCCTGCTTACGTAATTTTAATTCTTCCATATTTTAAGATCGAAGTTATGTATGTTCCTCTGTATTTTTGTAAATTCTGAATATAACAAAAATTTACCGAAATTAAAATTACATTTAAAACAAAAAATATAATCTGATTCGAGAAACAGTGCATATACATAATAATAATATGTATTATGTTATGCTATATAATGCCATGTTTTTTACTAGTTAACTGAAATATCCTAAGAGAAATATCAAAATAGTACCACATTTTACAAAACTGATTAAACTTGTTATCAAATAAATTACCAAAGGATATTATTTGAAAAATCCTTTCTAAATCAAATAATTAAAATTATACCAAAATGCGGTTTGTTACCGCACGTAACAACGTAACAAATCTAAAAGTATTAATAGTGTGCAATTAAAAAAAATACACAATACTTTGATAGGTACCGTGGTACCACGGCGGCGTTGGATCACAAGAGTATTTTAACGTGATGTATCTAACAATGCATCCGAATTCATGTTTCTTAGTTATCGTTCGCTAATCAATTAACATATAAAATGTAGGTCGAAGCGTTCGCTTCCTATTAGTCTCTAGTTTTTATCTAATGGAATGTTCGTACAAAATCTTTATTTTACGTAATTCCATTATATGTATATTTTTAAAACAAATTTTACGTAATAGCGAGGATATGGCTATGAATTTACATAAGATTATAATTAATGTTGTCTTCTTCCGTTCGATTAGTTTATTTTAATGGAATTTCAACACAAAAATATAGAAGTTTATTTCCGGAGGTAGGATTGTGGCCTGTACGAGGTGGGGAGTATATGGCGCGGCAATTTCTGCCGCAAAACGAACTTGCACTCCAGGACCCTTATTCCCGGGCCGCGGCCTGGCTGCGTCAATGAACTTTTTGTATTAATTTCATTTGGTAAATCAAAGTAAGACGACTACAGGAGAAAGCCGATCCTCTAGCACTGCGTGTTGAGGTGATAGCTTGTATTTCTAGACATTTCTAACTTGTTTATGCAACGATATTAAGTATATTTTAATTTATCTATATTTGAATTTGTAAATTTTATCGGAAGCGGATTACTAAAACAAAATAATTATAAATTTAGATCAGAAATAAACGATTACATAATTTTATTTTTCATTTACCTCATCCGGTTTTTTTTTGTTGCTTAGTTGGGTGGATGAGCTCACGACCCATCTGGTGTTAAGTGGTTACCGGGGCCCGTAGACATCTACAACGTAAATGCCGCCACCCACCTTGAGACATGAGTTCTAAGGGATCTCTTTTAACAGTATAACAGAATTTATCTTTACTGGTGGTAGGACCTCTTGTGAGTCCGCACGAGTAGGTACCACCGCCCTGCCTATTTCAGCCGTGCAGCAGTAATGCGTTTCGGCTTGAAGGGTGGGGCAGCCGTTGTAACTATACTTGAAACCTTAGAACTTATATCTTTACGTTGTAGATGTCTATGGGCTCCAGTAACAACTTAATAAAAAATAAATAAATTAGGGTATGTCCCGTACAGTAAAGTAATAAATGATTTGTTTTGTTTCAGTTGCTTCGATATGACGAGTCGCGCCCGCTGAGGTCTGGTAAGTTTGGTTTTATCACTAGTAACAATTGAATTTCGACATAGTACAAATTATTGTCAGCAGTATAGTGATAATAATATGTTCATTGTACGTATGTCCGATTTACTGTCATACGAATAGTCTGTTATCGGTTACGAGAAAAAAATATTATGAATTGTTTGGCAACATTTTTGTGAGTCGTCTTGTTCTGAGCTGCTTGTCACGACTAGTTCATTAAAAAAGTCCTCTTAAATCTAAACGCGACTAAGGCAACGGATATGCGGTGGAAGTAAGTAGGCCAAAAGCCCTGCCTCCTGATAGAAAGGAGGGGCGCTGACAATAGGGAGCTTCGGGTAGGATCTCTGCTGGACTATAATAACATTTAAAAATTGTCGTAAAACCCTTATAATAAGCCAAACATTGCTTTTGAATTACCATTGTACTGTACATATTATGGTTAGTGTACCTATTTGTTAGTATGGTTACTGTATGAATTTTAAAACTCTTAACTTAATGATTCGTATTAGCAAGATAGCTTAGCTTAGAGCGCTGTAGATGTTAGGGTCGATGAATACCACACTTCACTTTAGTGCAGTAATACAATGTACTTTTTAATCAACTTTGCAAAAAATACTGGTGGTAGGAGCTCTTGTGAGTCCGCACGGGTAGGTACCACCACCCCGCCTATTTCTGCCGTGAAGCAGTAATGCGTTTCGGCTTGAAGGGTGTGGGAAGCCGTTGTAACTATACTGAGACCTTAGAACTTATATCTCAAGGTGGCTGGCGCATTTACGTTGTAGATGTCTATGGGCTCCAGTAACCACTTAACACCAGGTGGGCTATGAGCTCGTCCACCCATCTGGGCAATAATAAAAAAAAAAGTATGTACTAACCAAAAGTAGCTCCGTCAAACCCGATAATGGTATTTTCATGAATATTATTTTATCATTTATGCAAATAAGCGATAGTCTCCCAAAAAAAATAGATTTTAAATTCGCATTACCCATTAATCCGTAAATATCAAATAAAGATTTCTCGTGAAAAACAAAAGACGTATGTATTCTGCTTCAACCGAATGTGAAGTTTATCGGCTTATCTTCACTAGGAATGGTCTCTAGGGCCATTTTTGGTGTGCTGGTGTACCGTTGCGACATTGCGACATTGCGAAGGATTACTGCACTCTTTACGACTGGCCATTTGTGAATAATATAATCGCATAACGGTACTTTCAACACCTTTGTGTTTATGTTCTCTTGGTACATTGTCACCTATTCAATTATTAGTTTGCGCTTCGCTCGAAAGGTTTAAGGAAGAATTATCTGGCCTCTAAAGGCCAGATAATTTTATATAAGCGTACTTTAACATTTAGTATTGTCTGACATATTACCGAGAAATTACACACGAATAGTAATATAATTATTGCAGTAGGTAATATCGCAGTAATACTGGCATACATACTCCACAGTACTATTAATATCCCCGAATCCTGATCACGCAGGAGCCAGTCACCGTTGACGCCCTAGACACATCCTTACGGATCCATCAGATCCAATAACCTTTGCATTAGACACCTTTAGCTTTTTTTTTTTTTATTGCTTAGATATGTGGACGAGCTCACAGCCCACCTGATGTTAAGTGGTTACTGGAGCCCATAGACATCCACAACGTAAATGCGCCACCCACCTTGAGATACAATTTCTAAGGTCTCAAGTATAGTAACGACGGCTGCCCCACCCTTCAAACCGAAACGCATTACTGCTTCACGGCAGAAATGGGCAGGGTGGTGGTACCCATCCGCGCGGACTCACAAGAGGTCCTACCACCAGTAATTACGCAAATTATAATTTTGCGGGTTTCATTTTTATTACACGACTTCACCGTGGAAGTCAATCGTGAACATTTGTTGAGTACGTATTTCATTTGAAAAATTGGTACCCGCCTGCGGGATTCGAATACCGGTGCATCGCTTCAACACGAATGCACCGGACGTCTTATCCGTTAGGCCACGACGACTACAGAACAGCTCTAACACTAGAAGTAGGGATCCCGGTAACCATAATCGTCGAACTCGGCAAAGAGTTTGAAGAGCAGCCTAACTTAAACATCAGCCCGCTGAGTTTCTCGCCGGATCTTCTCAGCGGGTCACGATTCCGATCCGGTAGTAGATTCATTCGCGTAGCAGCTACTCTTGATTTGGAAGCGCTCGGGTAGCTGTTAGCAAATCCTACTCCTCCTGGCTGAGCCCTTGCTCGCCCACCTGCCCTGGTAAAGCTGGAAAGACCTGCGGGCCACCAGTCATGTCTCAAACATAAAAAAGTACCATTAATTATCGTTTCTGTTTTCTTTGATGCTGCCATTTTAATTCGTCTTTTTTTATTTTTCTCTGTTATATGCACAGTTTTCTAACAGTTCCGAGTCGAGATATTCTGCGCAACTCATCGGAGCGTGAGCGTACAAAAATTAATTATACGATTCACTTTCACAGCGCGCACGCGTCGCACGTGCCCGCCTCGCACGTGCCCGCTTCTACCGAGTTATTGGTACAAACCAGTTATAACTGACACATCCTTTTTATTAATTGATTACATGATTACTTTTGTATTTTAAACTATGCAACACGCCTAGGCGCCTGGTCTACGCCAATTATCAATTTTAAATTATTAGCTGGTGTATCAATGATATTTCATGAGAACTAAAGGCTCCCTCCGTAGATCGCAAAGGATACTAATCTATACTCTATACTAATATTATAAAGAGGAAAGATTTGTTTGTTTATTTGTATTGAATAGGCTCCAAAACTACTGAACCCATTTGAAAAATTCTTTCACTGTTTGCAAGCTACACTATTTCCGAGTGTCATAAGCTATAATCTTTTTTGAAAAAAATTAGGGATCCTTACTAAAACTCCAATAATGGAACCCAAGGTGTAAAAAAATTACCTAAAATATTCTTTACATCGTGTGCCTTGCGAAAACTATTGATGATAGAATAAAATAATGTACTACGACTTTGTAAAACAGATTATTATTTACAAAAAGTGTCGCGACGGCATAATGTCTAACTATTATAGTTAGGTCGCAATAAGTGTTCTTTTATTTAAAAAAATAAAACAACGTCAAGTATCGTTGAAATTCTTGTTAAAGACCCGAGCGGAGCCGGAGCGGAGCCTATTTTGAGGAGGATATTTTGAATGCCTTTGGTGAGGAATGAGAGTCCTGCCTATTACTGCCGGGTACCATTTTGTGATTCGAAGATCCGATATCTCAGGATAGGTGACAATATTCACCTAGCTTCTACAGGCTCCGAAAATCCCTCGTCAACGGGGGCGCTATGAGTTCGACTACCCAGCTAATGCCAAACCTTAATAGATTTTGGATTTCACTACAACTTTTAAAACTATACGAAAAGCACGAAGAATCAACTCTCAGTTAAACAACATTTGAATATCTGTTCGAAATAATATACAATTGACAAGAGACATAAACTTTCTTACCAAGTTGAAATTTATACTAATTTAATGTAAAATTATATGAACGTAGAGCTGTAATATTAATACAGTGTCATTTGTAACACAATTTATGGAGGTTTCTCTCCCTGGAGCCGTGCCACAGAGTTACAGATGTTTCTCTGTGTAAAACACTAATATTTAAATCGGGATCTACTTACTATATACGAGAGGCAGAAACGAAGCAAACCGATTTAATGTTGTTCAATTCAGAATCATTTATAGTTCTGTCGCAAAGACTTTAGACTAGAGACTTAGGCCTCATGCCTCAAAGGGTGGTAGATTTCGCATTGTAATCCTCCTGGCTCCGGTAACCACTTAACACCAAGTGAGCTGGTAGCTGGTTCCCCCTACTGCGCATAAAATAATTAAAATTTCCCCAATATTTTTTCTCTACATTTTCGAAGCCTATGTTTCAAAAGTAAATTCTATTTCGTAATTCAATATGAAATATTTTTTTTTTTTTTTTTTTTTTTTTTTTTTTTTTTTTTTTTTTTTTTTTTTTTTTTTTTTGTTTTTTTTNATCGCGCGTTTCTCTCATTATTGTATTTTCATATATTTGTTAGTCGTTTGTTTTGTGTCTCGTTAATTTGTTAATAATCTGTAGTGTATCGTGTTGTCGTAATATAGAACTATTTCTCGTATTGTTTCGTTTAATTTTTTATATCCAGTAAACTCCAGTCGTGCGTCGGAGCGGACACACACACTTTTTTTATTATTATTGATTGAAGAACTTGAAATCTATGACGTGGATTAATATTTACAAAGTTATTTGAAAGGAGACCATTTATAAAATGTTAACAAAAATACAATATTAAATATGGACTTTAAATAAGTAGTCATTAATGGAATGTTTGTTGTATTGTCTACAGATAGTTAATTGCATAATGGGCATCGCTAATTAGACTTTGTCTTTAGATATGTCTTGTGATCCATCCTGCCAGTAGTTACTGTCATTCGGCATAAAAAGTAATCATACATTTCAGCTACAGCAGGATAGCCGTTGAAAGATAATTTATTAATGTCTTTTAGTATTGCTTAAATTCGAACCACTTATAATGTAGTATTATGGCTGTAAAAAAATACGCAATAGTTCTGCATCAAAATCTTTAAGTTCCCTATTTTTCCGTAGATATACTATAGGTTACGGCGAGGTGACTGACCTGTTTCTCAGAAAACCCTCGTGAAACGGTGGCAATCTGTGCGTTTTGTTTATCATTTTCCTCCTGTGTCTTACGGTGCTCAAATTTAATTAACTTTTTTATTCATTCACTTATTTTGTTATTGCATGCAGAATATTTTTTGGCTTCAATGGTATAGTCAGTACGTTTATGGTTAAGACTATAAAAACTAACTTAATTCCGCGACTCCGTTGCCATAACCTGACTTGATCAACATACAGATTATAGCAGTACTATAAGCATTCACCTCAACCCTAATTAGTCTAAATCAATTTTAATTTTAATGTAATGGACGAATGCGGGCACAAGGCCGCGGGGATCACAACTATCGCAGC